CCGCTCTGGCCGCCTCTCGCCTCTGCTGCCCGTGCCGCTGCCGCTCTGGCCGCCACTGGCCGGGCGAGCGAGCAGCCTGCGGGGGCAGGACGCTGCGGCGGCGGCGGCTGCGGCTCCAGCGCCGCTCGGCGGCGGCCAACAGCGACACCCGGAGGCGCCGCCGCAGCACTGCAGCCGCCTTTGGGCTGGGTTTTTGAAAACCTATTTATTATTGAAACACCTATTTTCCTGGTTTCACACACCTATTTTCCAGCTTCAAATCCCACAACTCAGGCTCCTCTTTCTGCTATCTAATTATTATCGAAGTATTTAGTCACGCCCAAGTTGAGTTGAGTAAATACTCAACACTCAACTTGTGAAGCTATCAGAATGTATGAAGCATAAATCCATAGCTCATACTGTGTCTTTTGTAGCAGATACATAAAAACAAAACTCTTTTCAGACAACTACACAGGAGGAGCAGAACAGACTGCAAAGCATAGACCCCAGCTACAGTCATTGCTTTGTACAATATAAAAAACAAAATCCTTGGAACCACACGTGAGGGCCACATCTATGTGCAAGGATAAATGGAGCTCGACACATTTCTTTTATCCATTTGAAACCATTCCACAATGAACTCCTACATGGGACCTGTCTCTGGATAGACAGACTTCTTCCCTCTGTCATCACACAATAGGAAAGAAAATTTAGAAGGCAGACACTGCTAAAAGAAAAGTTGCACTCCCTGATTTTCAGATCCCAAGGATCACAACACAGAGGAATGCAGAGAGATTTTTCTGCTCAACGCACAACTCAACTGTTGTGAAATGTTATAAAGGTAGCTCATTCAGTGATCCCTCATGAAAGTATCACTCAAAGGCAGCATCGTCCTTCTCCAACACCAGAATTCCTTGGAAGATATGTGACTTTACTATTCTTAATGCAAAGTTTCCCTCTGTGCCTGACAACTGCCATTCATAGCAAACTTCATGAAATAAAAAACCAAACAGGTGAACCCACAACCTGGTCACTGGAGTGGAAATGATGGAACATCAAAATACAAAGACACCTTCACACAATTTTCAGAAGGTCATGAAGGAACCCCGGGAATCTGCAAAACACGTGCCTTGCCTCCCCCACTAACTTCTCACACACAGCACCCCCAAGTCTCTCCTAGAACCCTTCACAAGTCACAGAATTATCATAGAACTTCACAATTAGCAGAGAGACTCCACTAAAAGAAAAGTTCCTCAGACAGCTTCCCATTATCATGAGCAATATTTGACTTCTGCACCTGCATATGTGTCAAGTAAGAGAATTTCTTCCACAAACATTTTAAGAGAACACTTCTATTAAAAGGAGAAAAGTAAGGATTTTACATCTGCAAAAAAGAAGGGAATCAACATATACTCTTCCAGATGATGCACTAAGTTTAGGCTCATAGTTCAGGTACTTAGTAGGGAATGAATACAGAGTTGGCTCCTCCCAAAACTCCCTTCATTATGGCACTTGCCATAGGTAGCTAATTAAACCATTCCTTAAAAATAACACAACAACCTGGAAACATACAGGTGGAACTTCCCAGGGCTCTCCATACACATGGAGTAAAATCTGTTAGGCCAAACTTACTGGGGAAAAAGAAATCACATCACATGATACCACAGCTGGGAAAAGAGCAAACCATAACTCTTGTGTCCTTCAACAGACCTTGCCACACAGGTCACAGGACTCTTGTCTTGAGCCCTGCACAACTTGCACGCTGTTCTCTGACCCTCATCATTTGCGAGAATGTCTAATCACAACCCCGGTTGCCCAGGCCAAATATCATTAACATCCATCGTGACCAGGCCATGCAGTTACCAGGAAGGGGAGTTGCATTTCTCTGCAAGGGTCGATAGCTTGTCATTTCAGATTAGCTCCACGGGAGTAGGTACACAAGAAGGGCATCAAGGTGGTAAAATGTCCACACAACACTCCTGTCACACAGGAGTTCACACTGAAGCCCACAGCCACAGCTCCTCAGTGTACTTTTTTGTACAGTAAAAAGGGGGAAATTCACAGAAACCCAACTGTTGACCTCATATAATTACTAGGACAACCTGAACTACTACATTATCTGTACATCTTTTGGACTTTCGAAATAAAAACACAGTAAACCTTTCCATCTGCCCTGTCTCTGCACAGACAGAATTTTTCACCCTGCCCAAACATTAAGCCACAGGAAAGCAACCTTTGCAATCAGACACTGCAAAGGGCCTGAAAGAAAACCAGCACACACAGCTCCTCCTTATCTGAGAACACTCACACCTCAGATGTCTGTAAGAAATGTCTGATACTAAGAAAAGTAAACTACTCTCAAGTGCATAAGCGATGTGCAGCTGTGATAAAATGACCACGCATCACAATATCAGCTCAAATATCATTCTACTTCAGCACACGGGTAATTTGGAAGAGACCTGAGTCTCAAAATTAAAACTGATGTTTACCTGAAAGCTCCATAACTACCATTCACAGGAAACACCTTGCAACAGGAAAGCAGACTGATGATCCCACACCTTAGTCGGATCCTGAGCAGTGTGATGTCAAAAATAAGACATCTTCAGACTCATTTTCAGAAGGTCATTAATAAAGGCTGTGCATCAACAAAACGCATGCCTTGTCTCTGCCAGTACCTCCTCACACACAGCAGCCCCAAGACCCTCATCAAACCTTCACAGCTCAAATAATTCTCATTCATCACCCCATTTGTAGCCGGACCCCAACCGCAGGAAATTGCACAGACAACTTCTCAACGTGGATAATATTTGATTTCACACCACATACATATGACATGTAAGAGTATTTCTGCCAGTGACAACTTAAGGAAACACATCTCTGAAAGTCTTCCTCCTTACAGCTCTAAAAATGAAAGGCTTGTGCAGGACAGTCAGACAAAGGTGACAGATTTGTAACCCAATCATCCCACCGATTATCTGATACAAAGGCCTCCCTTCAGATCATGACAGCGAGCAAGATGGTAACACTTGCAGAAAAGAGGGGATCACAACACGCTCTTCTGGATTATGGCACTTATGGAAAGGACCTAATTCCCGGCTTATGTAAGCGAGGAAGAGACAGAAAGGGGAATCCCACAGGTTACATTGTGGCATTTGTCCTAAGTCCATAATTAAGCTGCTCGTGAAATTCATCATGACAACCTTCACATACACAGGAAGAACCTTCCCGTGCTCCCAAATCAGACTGATTACTATGTCACCTACATAAAAGGCTTTCAGAAGACTAAAATCACATTGTTGCCATTTCTCTTCAACACGCCACGGACCACAGACTTCAGACAACTCTGCCCTTTCCTCCAGCATCCCTTTACACTACAAACAGCCACAATATTCACAATTTCTTTCCTCTTCATAGCAAGCAGACAGACATCACCAAGGGACGAGTTATTACCTGGCCTATTCCTCCACCAGGAGCACAAAGACATTGGCATGGATGAGTTAACAAAACATTTTGTTGGCCTCTGTATTATTGTGGCGACACAGAAAGGCTTAGAAGAATAAAAGAGATGTCGAGCGATGTGGCACCCAGGTCCACTAAGTTTGGTTTCAAGAGAACCTCAACCTGCTCATGCACATGTGCTGACCCTGCGAGCAACGTAAATTCAGTTTGTTACTAATGCAACACATCGGTGGAGAATACCTAATGGTGACAGGAACTGCACTTGTCAGGGGAGAAAAGGAGAAACGAAATGATGTTTTCTAAAACCACAAAGCCCGGGAAATCAGAACCTCTACCTAAGAGCAGCTTGCCTTCTACTACCTGGCCGACCAATTCTGAGGCTGAGCACCGATCCCACGTCCCGCTCACAACAACAAGACACACCAGCCCTCAGCGCCTCAATGAACGGTGCCTCTCCTTACTTGTTAGCGAATTTCGCTGTAAAGCATACAGGGCGCGGGGAACAAAGGACAAGGGAGCAGCTGAAGGAAGCATTGAAGCTACAGTCCGGCTTGAGGAACTCACCGTGGGAGGGGCCGGGTCGGCGGAGCCGGCGCCGGCAGGTTCCTCCTCTCCGAGCAGCGGTGCAGGCTCGTCGGGCGGCGGGCGGGCCGGGAGGGTGTCGCAGCAGCTGGCGGCCGAGAAGCGCAGGTGGCTCTTGCGCGAGTCGGCCGTGAGAGACACGTCGTGCGAGTAGGAGTGCAGGAAGGCGCGGACGCCGTCGATGCCCACGAAGTGCGTGGCAGG